AAAACCCTAAACCCTAAACCCCAAGGCCTAAACCCTAGACGCCGATATCCTAAAGGCGCCTCCTGCCTCTGCTTCGAGGAGACGACAGCTCGCCTTCGGGGACCATTCTCAGCGCTGGGAAACCACCGTGTGAGCCACCATATTGGTCAACAAAAACCAAGGTGCGCTAAAGCCAAGAAGCATCAAACCGTTTTCATTTTCTTTACATGGGAATTTTGTCCTCGAAGATTTTCCAGTATCCAGACCGCTTTGCGAGGGGGATTCTCCGCCTCGCTAGGAAAGTTATAAGGTGGAGGGAAATTCTTAGCAGATGTTGCGGTGAACTAGCCGAACACAGAAGTCCAGTGTCATGGTAGTATGAATCACTTCTGGGTTGTGTGTGCATTTTACACTCATAGAAATGCCAATTCTTGTGTCCCTTCTTCCACACATGAAGCGTATGCGTAGTCGCCGAGACTGCGCTAACAAATAGGCGAGTACACTGCGCTTCCTCGCCGTAACTTGAGCCAAAACTGCAAGTGCTGATCATTTACTTGACATTAAGTAGGCAGTTTATACATAAGTAGAAGCGTATCATTCAACCTCGGACAGACCGTGCTAAATAACGACTGATGCTGAACAACTACAACCAGTGCGTAAAAAGGGAGAGCCTGGCAAAAAGAGCTACAGTACCCTCAGACATCTGTGAAACAGGTGCAGGTCCCACATTGTCCAAGTAAAGAAAACATGTATAGTTGGCTTGTGTTGGAAGACATAGCGCGAATATGAGGTCCACAGTGTAGACGGAACCGGCACGGTGAAAGCTTACAGGAATATCATTCAACCTAAGTTTTGAACAATTCTTGTAATTTTGCCTTCACAAAAAAGCAGTTTTACTAAACTTATTTCTAATCTTAAGCCCATGGGGTCTATCCCTTTGGGAAGACAATAAAAGGTTCAGGAGCCCCCAACTCGCCCGCTTGGGGCCCCAATCAACCCAACATAGTTGCCCAGCCTGCGCTTCGTTGTAAGCATTGTTGGCTTCACTGGAGTTTGTTTTTTCTTGAAGAAGCTACAAAGTGGATTTAGAGTGTGGGGTAAAATTGAAGACAGTGGGGGGTGGATGCTGTTCGTTCTGGGGGTGCACCCCCTGGGAGGGTCTGCTCGACGTTGCACAACAGGAGCGCTCCTTCCTCTCGCTCACAGCAGCATCAGGCGCAGCAACGGCAACCAAAGCGGCTGCATGCATACAACAGCAGCAGCGAAGCTCCGTGTGTGGCTTGCGTTCGCCTCCCGCTCCTTCTCTTCAGCGGCAACAACGAAGGCAACTTCAAATGTAGCACGAGCAGCAACTGTTGCACAGGGCGCTCCGCCTTCACCAGTATCAGCAGCACCCTCAGCAGCAGCAACGTCGCCAGCAACGGGAGCAGCGTTAGGGAATCTGTCGGCATCTGCCGCAGCAGTTCTGGGCGCAATAAAGAGCGCCTACGAACAGATGTGCAAGAGGAGTGTTTCTCTCAACTTGCATGTTCATCATCAGGGCATTAAGACGCAACTCCCCAAACCCAAGGCAGCAGCAGCAACAGCAGCCCGCTTGACTGCTGCAGCCAGCCGCGCAGCTGCGGCACCCGTTGCACCGGCAGCCTCAGCATCAGGACGCGGTGACACAGCAGCAGCAACAGGAAGAAGAAGTGTCAAGCAGCTTACTCGCGCTGAACGGCGGTCTTTTGAGGGACATCTTCGTCGCTTCCAGTTAATGGGAGACAAAAGTGAATTTCATCATGTCGACAGGAACAAGAACCAAAGGATTTTTGAACCTTACCACATGTTCTCGCTGTCCATCACAACAAGCAAGAACAACGTACACTGCGTTGTTCGAAACAATAGCTGCAACAAACGAACAGTATTCACATCTTTTGCAGGTAAACCATTAGCAGTATGCCATAAAACCAACGCCTTCAACTCTGAACAACCCTGCACAACCTATGACCCTAGACACACTGAAGTCATATACATTTCACAAATCACAGACAGCGGTAGATAATAGTCACACTTTTACAACAGCAAGCAGCATCAACAGCATAATACAAGACATTAACTCGGCGCCGGAGGGGGAGCGGCGTCAGCGTTCCCTTGAGTGTACACAGCACTTTATTTCTAATTTGTGTTGTTAACCTCTTGCAGTTCCTTACGACCTATGTTTATGCATTTCCATATGCTCTTACGTGATTCTGGCAATTATTTAGCTGGCGCTGCAGCGAAGTTTGCTTATGGTTGTCTTGATGCGTATTTTGATTCTTCCGTCGTTTACAGACTCGACGCATTATGTGCTTTCTGGATTGTTTGCTCTCCCGCTCGCATATTTTGTGCAGCTTTCTTTACTCTGTCGTTGTTGTTGTTCAATTCGCCTTTCGCTTGCTGCACTGTTGAGCGAGGAACTTGCACACGAAGTGCTGTGCGCGTTATTGTTGATGACTGCTGTTGCATGTTTTTTGCCTTGCTTTAATCTCTTTGATTCGATAATGTCGAGACCTCCATGACAACGCTATTTTGTTCACTTTTTCGCCTGCTTTCTTGTGGCGGATGCCACTTCTACTTTCTGTTTCAGCCATTTGTCCGTTTCTTTATGTGTTCGCATTCCGTTATAAACCATATTGCCGATACTCTACTTCGTTTTAATCGAACAATTTTACTGTCTTGTTTTTACTTCAGGCAACGTTGGCATACGCAAGAGCGCCCAACAGTCAAGCGCGTGCGCTCATCGTATCGGAGAGAACATAGCTCGAAAGCTTCGCCGGTTAGGGGTTGATGGAGTGTCAGTGGAGTTCAGGAGGATAAGCCGGGTTAACGCTGTTCTAAAAGCGCTTGCGAATCATAAAATTCACGTATATTCCATCACACACATACCCAGGCTACCCACCTGTGGCCTGACCGCAAGGAAGGCCAGAAAAAGGAGAAGGGTTTAAATTCGGTCTTGCTGACCCTAGAATATAACTTGTTTTCCGAATCATATGCTGTATTTAAGCTGGAAGTTTGAATTACAGTGATAGAGAACTTTTGGGTGTGGGATGGACACCCGAGACACACACTCGCGTGGCCTTGTTCATTTCTTAACAATTTTGCTCAAGAGTTGCCGAAACCTCAAACCCTACGCAAAAGCTAGTATCACAGCCGCAGCTTGATCCACTGATTCAAATACCTAGTGAAGCTTCTTCCGGGGAGCTATGTAGTAAGGCTTCTGGCATCCATAGCGAACCCTAAATTGTAAATCCTATACCCCAGCTTCTAAACTGAAGGTAACGTCGATAGCTGATGCCATTAGCACTAGTAGTTAGTAGTTAAAGTAATGGGGATTAATGGCAGTGGCCTTTAATACCAGCAAGAAAAGCACACCTTCGTGGTTTCCAGTCGGCGAACGTCAATCCTTTTCTCTCTTGTGACATTCCAGCAGCTGCACCACCACTACAGCTGCTGCGGCTTCTCGGAGGGCTTGCTTGTCTGGTTTTCTTGCTGTAGGTGCCGTCGCAGATCTAGATTTTGGTGCTAGTGCGCCTTCTTTTGCTGCTCGTGCTGCTGCTGTGTCCTTTCGGAGGCTGCTGCCGACAGCCACGCGAGCCCTTGACCGCAGTAGTGTCAAAATAATTGGCATGAAGGATTGTAAAGCCACTCACTGACCTACCCTCCAGCTGTACTAATGCATCCCAGAAGGAGCGGGACAAGGACATGGGGCTGGTCTGGAGAGCAGGTCTGCTACAGTCATGTGTTGCAACAGGCACACCTGCAGAAACTGCTGCAAGCCAGTTGCGCCGCAGCAGCAAGTATCGCAAGGCAAGCCCCTTCTGACGCGTGCGTTTGCACACTAGGGAGGTCTTAGACACCTTTTTGGCCATGAATACTCAACCTGAAGTATGATGTGGAGGGACAGAAACTAGCTAAAGACCAATCTACAACACTCTGCTCTACTGTGAAAATGTGTGGCTTGACATACAGCCTGCCCTCCCTAGGCATCTAACGAAATGACAGGAGGAGGATTGACTTGTGCGTTTCCAAAGCCCTTTTGTGTCATGACACGACAAACGCGAGGTGGTCGTTGAATCGAAAGCTCGCCATAGCTGGAGTGGCTACACTGTGTACGGGCTTAGTGACTGCGTGCGTTATGGCGGCTATAGCATGTGAGTGAGGAGGTAATTCCATGAACTACACACAGTGGGAAGATACTGTTTTTGCTTGTACAAGCGATCGATCCACCGAGTCCGCGAAATTTAACCATCGTGTGGCAGCCGCCGGCCCCACTGAGGCAGTAATACCATTGACTGAGGATCTGAAGATGATAGTGAAAAGTGTAGTATACGATAAATAAGTAGTGTTTCGTGGATATTTTGGTTTTAAAGCTGTCAATTTGTTCGAAGCAAAACGCAGCAGTGCGTACACCACAACCCATTCATGGGGTGGTACTATCGGGCGACACCTGCTTGTTCACATTCACTCTTGCGGCGTGGCTTAACAGGAACAAGCACATTAGCTGCTAATTATTGTTTGCTGAACAATTTATTTTGTTAATATTCCCTGCATGAGTAGGCGCTGAAAATATGGGGCGCTCAAATGCCCTCGCTCCGACTTAGCACGGCCGGCCACCAGCCAACCATAACCCTGTAAACGTACTTCTACATGATAAATTAAAATATCGACGTTCTCGCTTTTTCCCTATACCTCAGGTCCCTTTGCTTGTTCCGCCTTCTCTGCAGAACTCCGCCCACCTCTACTACTCTTGAGTTCCGCTGCCAGCACAGCTTGCTCGCCGGTGTCAACACTCCTTCATAATCCACGTATTTGCCTATACACCCCGCATGGCAGGCAACTGAGATGGTATAGACAGGCCTCTCCTTTTAGCCGAGGTTCGGGTTCCGGGGCCTTGACACACCGCGTCGGGGGCCCCTACACCGCGTTCTGAAGAGCATGCAACTGCTTTGAGGAGTTGTGTGCTACAAAAGCCGTCATCATTTCCTGGCCAACACCAGAAGATGGGGGCCGGGATATCCCGTGGGAAGAACAAGTCCAGCAAGAACCAGCAGGGGCGCCTGCTGGCTTCACCTGCTGCACACAGTCCGAGTGCTGCTGGTGTGTCGAAGCAGCAGCACACACAACAAGCAGCAGCACCTTTGTCATCTACTCCTGAGCGCTGCGTCGCTCTTTACCACCGCGAGAGTGTAGAGAAGGAGAAGGAGCAGGCCCCAAGCAGGCTACGAACTCTCAGGGCCCCGGGGGGTGGAGCCCCCGCGGGGCCCACGGGGGCTCCGTCTAGCCGACGGGCCAGAGGTAACCTCCCTCGCCCTCATACCCAGAGCGCCGTTCAGAGCGCTGAGTTCATAGATGAGGCGCCTAGCACAACGGTGGTAGAAGCGCCAGTGTCCCCTCCTGTGAAGGAGAGTGGAGACAGTGCAGCTGCAGCGGGCAGTCCTGCAAAGTCAGATTTCAGCATCAACAGATCGAACTTCATTCTTGAAAATGCCGGGAAGATACAAACACTTTATGATATTGAACCCACAACACTCGGGTCAGGAACTTACGGCAGCGTCTCCAGAGCTATTCGCAGGTCCACTGGCATGCAGCGCGCGGTGAAGACAATCAGCAAATCGCAAGTCAAGAGCATTGAGCGATTCAGAAGGGAAATTGATATCATGAAAAGCCTCGTGAGACACGCACAACAAGACGCACACAGACATAGCAGCAGCTGGCTTAATGGCAGCAGCAGCAGAATTCCAGCAGCAAACAGCAACAGCAGCAGCCGCAGCAACAGCGGCAACAGCAACTGCCGCAGCAGTGGTACGGTTTAGGGCTTCTGCCTGTCTGGTGTCTTCTTGCGTGCCTAGTCTCAGGCATTTGCACCAACAAAGGTTTTGTAGTTAAGGGGCCGTGAATTTGCTTGGCTGTTTGTGTGTCAATACAACTCTTGCTGTCCCCCCATTTGGTGTATGCGCATTACAACTAGGACTGAACAAGTTTAGTCTGTGCAAATGCTTTTCGTTGCAGGATCATCCAAATGTCGTCAAACTATTTGAGACATTTGAAGATCACCGGAACATCTACCTCGTCATGGAGTCCGTCTATCAAACCCTTCATTTTAATACCCTAAACTCTAATAGCTGCAAACCCTAGATCGACAGCTTCAAATGCTCACGTGCAAGCAGTGAAGATTTCAGCATAAACTGCCAACTGTTAGAGCACAGTTCTAAATCCTAAATTGTTGAATTAACAGTCAAAGTCTCAACGGTACCAAGCCCTGCACGCAGATATTTGGAGGGTTTTGTTTGTGAGCGGTGTACGCAGCAAGATACACTAGAAATGCGTTTACTTGCGTGTGTTTTTGAATTATCTTTGTGCAACCTTGTGGATAGTTTTGTTTCCATGCTTCTCTGTTCTTCAACTGCGAGCCTTCATATCTTTGCCTACACTGTGCGTGTATTGATACTTTCGTGCATATCCTGTACATACAGCACAACTAACGCATAAATGTATAGATATACTATATATGCATTAAATAGGGGTTACACCTTTGCGGTTGTCTCGCGTTTGCTGCAGGCTGTGTGAAGGGGGGGAGCTGTTCGATCGAATTATAGCGGAGGGGCATTTTACGGAGAAGAGGGCCGCGCTGTTGATGCGGCAGGTCTTCTCTGCAGTAAATTATTTGCATTCTAATCACATTATGCACAGGTATGCCGTCTGGTTGTGGGCATGCACACTTGGTTTGGCCTTGCCTTCTTTCGTTGGGTCTTTTCTTCTTTACGGATGTTTCCTTTGCTGTTCTGGCTCTGTTCAGTTCGGTTTGTTTGGAGCCGCTGGCGGCACGCCTTGTTCATTTATGAATGAAGATGTGAAAATATTCATTACGTACATTGTGATGTTCAACATTAGTTGAAAAGGTAGTTGCTCTAGTACACTTTGGTACATGCTTTGCGGATCGTTTTGCCGTCTGCTGTAGATTATAAACAACATAAATATCTTATTTCATTAGTAAAAGGATATTGAGGCTTTGGAGGGCCCGCGCTGGTCGTAACCTCACTTAGACCGAGTGCGGCGTTGAGCGCTGTAGCAGGCAGCTGCACATTCACATGCATGTGGAGTCGAGGAAGGTTTTAGTTTAGATAGGAACTTGGTTTTCTGCATCTGCAGCTGCATACCTTTAGGTTTACTAGGTGCATGGTGAGGTAGGGGTAGTCTTTTTTGTGAAGCTGCACAGAAGGGAGATGCTTATCATAGCTTGCCTGTGTAAACTGGAGGAGCAAACCTGTACTCGATGTATTGTAGCGGTAGGGTAGAACTTAGGAAATGATGCTGAAGATTGTACCCCATTGAATTGAAGTAGATGAAAGGATCATTGGAGCCCTAGGTGGAGCCATGTGGTTACAGGAGGATGAGAGATCAGTGGAGGCGAAGCATATCGTGTTGCAGCATTCATTGTGTTCCATTTTAATATACGGATTTAAAACTACCACTTGTGTTTCTTCCTGCATGCGCTTTTCTGTTTAGTACTACTGTCTTTCGTAGTGCCATGTGCTCGCTTCGTCAGGGCCGTCGATGCTCTTGTCTTCTAGTCTCTTCACACTTGCTGCTTATCTTTATTCGGATTGCCCCCCTGGCCCCTATTCCACTTGTATTCACTTTATTACACGATGTCTTATTTGCTACCTTCCCTGCGTGTTGACGCTTTCGCCATGCGTGCCTTTGCTTCTTCTACTGCTGCACTGGATAGTGTTATGTACTCAGCATAGTAACACTGCTACAGAAATACAGTAAACAGAGGCCTACATGATTAGTAGAGCAACACGGTGGTCTTTACTCGTAATTTTCGCATGCTCTGTTGTGTACTGGGCCGCTGATCTCCGTTGCGTTGGTCTGCCAGTTGTTGTTTGTTGTGAGCGTCGCCTAACTTGTACTTCATGCGCATTGAAAAGTGAAGACTTTTATAATTTGTTTGCGTACACCGAGGAAACAAACTTGTGCGAGATTTGTCTATTGGAGTTGGACTGGACGGAAGCTTTGAATACGCTGACCACTACCAATTCTTATTGATTGATTATATTGATTGATTAGTTTGATGTGTTACAACGAAACATTGACTCACCTTCTAGCCTAATCAGTGAGTAGTGTGCTTGGGTTTACTTCAGGGATTTGAAACCTGAGAACTTTCTCTTTTTGAGTCCCGCAAGAGACAGCCCTCTAAAAATCATCGACTTCGGCCTTTCTTGTCGGTTTACGCCGGGAGAGTTCGTATCGACAAAGGCAGGCACGGTAAGACATTCTTTCTCTCTGCTTTTCTGCCCAGGGTTTTGTCTCACTTTCTTCTACGAATGCAACGGGGATCCATCTGAATAAATAAATAAGTATACATTACATATATGTATATATGTGTGCATGCCTAGAATGCTCCTTCTATTTTGTATGCAAACGTATAGTCACACCTATACGGAAGGATGGGGGCAGCTACATGCTTAGTTTATGAAGAGTTTATTTCGTTTTCAGTTGGTTTCTACGTCTGATATTTTTGCCCGTCTCTACCTGTTGCGCCACTGAGGTTGTACTGTTTTACCATATGATGGTTTGGTTGTTATCTGCCGTCACTCCTCAGGCTTTGTTTTTCCTCGTGTGGGTGTTGTTATGCATGGCATGCCTAACGTATATTCCGTGATGGGCTGATAAGCATCTATAAGCACTGCGTTTGTTTGTAGACTAGGAATTTCTTATCTCGTTCGTGCTTTGTTATGCAGTGCTTGTGCTTGTGTATGGAACGCCTATGCTTGCCATCAGGGTGCTTGTTGACTTGTTTGCTCGTAATGTAAGCCGAAATATTTGTTTTCTGAATTTGTTTTGCGTGTGTCGTGGTTGTTGCGTGTGGGGTGTTCAGCCTTACTACGTGGCCCCGCAGGTCCTAGAGGGTCGTTACGACTACCGCTGCGACGCTTGGAGCTTGGGGGTTATTCTGTACATTTTGTTGTGCGGGTTTCCCCCATTCTACGGCGATACTGATGCTGAAGTATTGGCACAGGTCAAGGCAGGGGCGTATTCATTTGCCGGGCCCGAATGGAGAAGGGTCTCAGATGAAGGGAAAGACCTCATTAGAAAACTCCTCAAAATCAACCCAGATGTAAATATTCTGCTTTGCCTCATGGATTGCACTTTGCTTTTGAAAGTGTATATTTTGTGTATGCGCCTTTAGACATACCTTTTAAGTGCCCGTATGTTTAGTTGTTTGCATTTGCATGTACATGGCGCCGTTGTTGCCGTGCTGCTTTCGGTTTGGGTTATTGAGCCACCTTTTTTTGTTATTCGTATTCCTATGCATTTAGTGTAAACAAACGGTAGTTTATATGGATGTAGTCGCACGCCCTATTAAATGTTGGCTGCGTTTGCATGCTTCTATTCTCATCTTGTTTCTTTCATGAGTAGAAACGACAGTACGCATTTTCATGATGGGGGTGTTCTACGATGGCGAGTTGCGTGCATTCCCGCCTTTTCCAGCACTGCACATTTCTTCTTTTAGGGGTATTAGAGTTGTATTTACTTGCGTTTGTTTACTTTCTATTCGCTACTCAGGAACGGTTGTCAGTAGAAGAGGCTCTACACCATCCATGGATTATGAGCTTAGCACAAAGCAGCCAGAACGTGCCTCTTCCCGTTACTCTCATGGCGAACCTCAAGGTAATTCTTCTACCTGCATTTGCTTGCCTTGCGCTTGGTTTATGCGTGTGGTGTGTTTCTCCTATGTCCCGTGTATATGGTGTTTCTGTCTTTTTCGTGCTTTTTATGCTTACACCCGTTTTCTGTACTTTCTTCGGCTCATGCTTACGGGTGTTACCTTGTCGTTTTCCACGCATGATATTCTCAATTATGTTGTTTACTTTCTGTATGCGTATCCAGTCTATTCAATTTCCGTCGTTATTTGCTCGTCAGCTGTGTTTGCGTTTCTTGTGCTGTACTTTTCTCTCTTGTGTTGTTATTTGTTGCGTATGTTCCCTGGATGTCTTGCTTTGCATATTTACCTCTGACGCGGAGGTTATCTCGTGTCTCACCTCTCGTCTTTTGAACCTGTGTGCATATGTGCTATTTATGCTATTGTTTGGCTAATGCTTCACGAGCATATTTCTGTCGGTTACGTTGTATCCTTCCTGCTTTTTCTAGTTTTCTGAAGCTTTACCTATCACCGTCAATTGCATAGTGGCTCCTGCTTTCTACTGGTGTCTTTTTGACTCCATCTCTTCGTTTATTGCATGTCTTCGTGCCTTCAATTATTAAACCCTTGTTGCGTCTTTTCGATGCATTGCTGCCCATTCACCCACAATATCCCCCTGTGCTTGCATATATCCTTTTACCCTCCCGTGTACTAATCTCTCTTTCCATCTCTCTCCTTGGTGTTTCCACATTTTGTATAGCATCTTTATATCTGTATGTTTGCTGATCATCTTGCTTATCCAATTGTTTGTGTACTGCTGGCTTCCTTTTTTGTTATTTCGCCTTCAGGGTTTCCGGGCCCAGAACCGTTTAAAGAAGGCGGCATTGACGGTCATAGCTCAGCATATGACAGACTCCGATATCGACCATCTTCGCAAAATCTTCATTTCGCTCGATGTTGATAACTCCGGCACGCTTTCTGTCCAGGTAAATGGAACTAACACCAATATAAGGCTTTGGCTGTATTCGCGTATGTCTTTGTTTACTGGTATGCATATATATATATATATATATATGGTTCTACGTACGTACAGCCTCTCGATTCTAGTCATCTCCTAAGTATTCGTTCTGGCAGATGGAGAGAAGTTTGTTTTATAAACTAGAAAGTAGTAACAAGCAGGGCAATAGCCCTGCATTGCATCTACATGAGTGCGTGCGAGCATGTCGATCCTTGAGTAAACGTTGGATATTGTACAGCCCCAAGTTAATGGGTTTTTGTGCGGCGTTCACGTACTGCGGATATAATGTATTCGTTTGGCACCAGTCACTCAGGCTGTCGTATTTCTTGAGCGGCAAACAGTGCAGTGGGAACGAACATGAAAATTCATGTTCACTTTAAGCAAATATATTACTGGATCTCTATTTGTATTATATTCAGTATCACTTGGGCAGGATTGGTGCTTGATGTAATTTCGTACATTTGTTTGGAGCCTTTGCTTGCAGAATTTGCTGTGAAGACTGCAGAAGCATTCGCAGCAGGATCTTACTTGTGTATTCGTTATTTCGCAATCCAATGCTTATTCAGTTTCTTTCGTACTTATTTATATATATATAATGTGCATATATTTTACTTAGGAATTGGAGAGAGGGCTGTTAGAGGGAGTTAGAGCATGATGCATCTGCAACAATATTGCAGGTTTACTTCACTGCAAGGTAATGCGAATGAAATATATGTCTCAGGAAGTGGCAGAGGGATTAAAAAGATTGGGGTGGAGGGAAATACCGCCAGATCTGCAGGCGATTATGGAGGAAGTAGATTCTGATAAGTCAGGGCATATTGATTATACAGGTTCGCCTCTGTGTATTCCGTTTGTTTTCGTCTTTTTGCACGCATTGATGCATCCGCATATCTTGTGTTTATATTCAGTGCGGTGTGTGCTTGCTTTTTGCCTCTCGTAACTTGCCCACCCATCAACTGCCAGCGTTTGTTTTGATTCAGAACGTTTTTATTGATTTGTTTGTCTGTTCGCGTACAAGGCTGTTATCCGCTTTCATTTAGTTGTGTTTAAGTGTTCTTCACTTAGCTTGCGTTCATTTTCTTTAATTTTGTGCATTTAGTTTGGGGAATTCCTAGAAATTTATTTGTTTTTCTCTTAGTTTGCTTTTGCGTTTTCTTTCAGAGTTCATCGCAGCGACAATGGATAGAAAATTGTATATGAAGGAAGATGTCTGCTGGGCGGCTTTCCGCGTATTCGATTTGGTGATTCTCTCAACAAACTAAATTTTTAAAAAAATTCAATTTAAGAAACTTCAATTCATTATATTCAGTTCGTCCGTTGGCTATATAGGTATATGCTTATTTATATATATATGTATATATATATATATATTTATATATTTCTGCGTGTCTCTCTTTTGTGTTATTGATATTAATTGTTTAATTGCATTTATTTTTTAATCGCAGGATGGTAACGGGAAAATATCGCAAGACGAGCTCCGTCAAGTGCTGGGGATGCCGAATGTTCAGGGGGCAGTCGGCACCGAAACAATTTCTGCTCTTTTAAGTGAAGTCGATTTAAATGGAGACGGAGAGGTAATTCTTTTTCTTTTATTCTTTCCATCTTTGTTCATGGGGCCTGCATGCATTTAATATATGCAAATATATAGAATATATAAACGCATGTAAATGTAGAAACAATTTCTGCTCTTGAAGTCAATTTAAATGCAGACGGAGTGGTAATTCTCGGGGCTTGCATGCAGTTAATGAATACAAATCTAATGAATATAAACATAAATACACACGTAAATGTAGAAACAGTTTCTGCTCTGTAAAGTGAAGTAAATTTAAATGGAGACGGAGAGGTAATTCTTTTTATCTTCGTTTATCTGGCTTGCATGCAATTTCTATACAAATAATATATTCTTATATAACTATAACTGCAGATATGAGTGAACGTAAGGCAGGAGCAACAACAACAAACAGCTACAGCAGCAGCAGCAGCGGCTGGGTAGATGTCACAGAGTTGCGGGCTGCAGAGGCATTGGGATGACTGCTTCTTCTGCTGCGTCTGTTGCTGCTGCTGTTTACTGCTTGTGTTGCTGCGGGTGTTGCTGCTGCAGATCGACTTTGAGGAGTTTATGCACATGATGCGGAAGCGAACGCCTGGGGAAATTCAAAGAGAAAGAGACGCGAAGAAGAAGTCGGGGAAAGTATGACGAAGGTGCCTATACACTGCAACTGTATACACTGTAGTTGCAGTGTATGTACACCTCCGTTAGCTGTACCCCGTATAGAGCTGCTTGTGAATCTTTTCTAAGTGTTTATAATATATATGCCTCGACGACTGTACGTAGAAACGCGTATAGTGTACATACACCTGGAGTATGTACATGTGCTGCCTGTACACTGAAATATGTGTACAAGAGCTGCCTATACACCCCAGCTGTGTATATACAAGAGTTGCGTATACACCGGAATGCTGTATACAATCGCTGCGTATTCACGCATATGTACAAATGCTGCCTATACACTTGAATTATTCTTTGTCTCGCAGTGCTGTTGCTGCAGAGAAAAGATTTTTCTCCTTAACAAATAATTCCTGAATCAACTAAGCCTTAATGCATGCAAACAAAGCAGCACTAACGAAGTATATAAACAATAAATGCATATTTTATTATTTATTATATTATTTTACCTAAATAATGCATGCAAACAAAGCAACACAAACGACGTATGCAAACAATAAATTTATTATTATTGTTTATTATAATATTTATAATAAACAATAAATTGCATATTATTATAAATATTATATTTTCATTGCATTACCTAAAAGAATGCCTTTTGTCTCAGCATCTCCACCGCATGCAATAATAAACAAACTGCATATTCATAAAATATACGGAACACCTCCATATTATATATATATATGTATATGTGATATGTATGATATATATATATATATATATATTTATATATAGATGTATATATATAATGGAGGTGATGTTCACAAATACTTGACGACTAAACCGAATATAAACAAATAAACATATATACATTTGTAAGCTTATATATTTATACATGTACAATTATATAGGTTTATATATAACATATATAAACATGAGCTGATTTTTGTTTATATACCAATATATTAATTATATATTTTTATTTTGTTCATCTCTGCTCGCACGTATTTAGTTTAATGAGCTAAGAGCAACAAAGTGTTTAAAAGAAATGCAGTAAAAGTAATAGAAAGGAACAGGATATTCAATTTTAATTGAGTAGCAAGTAATTACAATAAAGTAATTATAATAAATGCATTAAAAAAACAAAGTAATTATAGAAAAAGAACAAAGTAAATATATTAGATGCATTTGAACCAACGAACAAGTAAATATAATAAATGCACAATAACCAACGAAGTAATTAAAAGAAATGCATTAATAGCAGCAAACAAATTATAATAAATAAAAGCAGCAAAGTTATTCTAATACGTGCCGTACCAGCAACAAGATAACAATAAATAACAATAAAAGAAGCAAACTGATTATTATAAATGAAAGCAGCAAACTAATTACAATAAATACACAAAAATAAAAAAACTAATTCATCCCCAAGAAGACCTCCAGTCTGCACTTGGTAAAGTGTACAGCTGCTGCTGCTGTTGCTGCTGCTGCTGCAGCTGCTGCTGCTGCTGATTGTCAGGGTCTATCTGTGCAGTTTGGGTTTGCAAAGCAGAAAAAAGCCTCCACATATCCTCAACTTCTTTTAGACAGAAAAAACAAAAAAACATTAATCAGGAAGAAAACAAATAAACGAAAAACAAAACAAATAAACTTAAAAAATTTTCAACAAAATGTTTCCTCAGGCTCTCCACCCACAAATTCAAACTGCGCAAAACCTGCTGCAGCAAACTCTGCTGCAGCAAACTCTGCTGCAGCAGAACGTGCTGCAGCAGAATGCGCTGCAGCAAACTCTGCTGCTGAGAAAAAATCCTAAAAGGCAGTTAAATGCTGCATGCTGCACGAACCATCTGCAGCAAAGGGCTGTGCTGCAGGAGTAGCTGCTGCTGCAGCACAGGATCTGCTGCAGCTGTTGCTGCTGCTTCTGCTCCTTCTGGCTGCTGTTGCTGCTGCTGCTGCTGCTGCTGCTGCTGCACGCGCTTGAGCTCTGCCTGCCGCAGTCGCTGCACTGCCTGCTGCAGCAGGGGGTTTTGCTGCAGCTGTTCTTGCATTTGATTAGGCATGGGGCTTTCTGCGGCTTGCTGCAGCGCATGCAGTTGCTGGGGGCTCAGATGTGCAGCAGCAAACCGCCACACTTCTTTTGCTGCTGCTGCTAGCTGCTGCTGCTGCTGCTCCTCTTCTCGCTGCGTTTCGTCTGCCTCCAGCAACTCCCCAACTCTGTCTTTCCTCTCTCCTACATGCAGACAATAAATTATATTTGTCTTTAAATACTTTAATTTAATTATTTTAAAAGCAAAAATGCTGCAGACGTGCTGTCAGCTTCAGCAGCAGCAGCAGACGCAGCAGCAGCAACAGCAGCAACAGCAGCAACAGCAGCAACAGCAGCAAAAGCAGCACTGAAGCACTACAGATAAGAATGCCGCTTTGCCTATGCTATGTATAAACATATATACATATGCATATAAATAAATATATATATATATATATATATATACATAGATATATTTATAAATGTATATATATATATATATTTATATATATGTATATATATACAAAGAATACATATATTAGGCGCAAGCATATGTAGACAGACAGCCGTACATATAATGCAAATTTATTTTGTCTACACGAAAGCATCTACTATATTTGTATATATACATATATATATATATATATTAGCACAAATATATATACACACACACACATATATATATATATATATTTATATTTGTTATTTCTTGCCTTTGTCTGTTCTGCCTGTAATTGGGGTGTCAGTGCTAATAGGCGACCTTGTTGCGATTTGCACAGCAGCAAACCGTCTAGGAGACATCCGCAGCAAAGCTAATTGCTTCTCGAGTTGCTGCTGCTGCTGCTGCATGCCTTGAGCAGCGAACGAGCCCTCCTCCTGCTGTTGCTGCAGCTCCTGCTGCTGCTGCTGCTGCTGCACACCCCGCACAGCAGCAGCAGCAGCAAACCAACTCACAGGCACCTCAAAAGACACCCGCTGCATGCGGCTCCACTGCAGCATTCCTTGCTGCATCCACTGCCAATATAAACCCCAAGCAGGGGCTGCAATGCTGCTGCTGCCGGTGCTGCTGGTACTGCTGCTGCTGGTGCTGCTGATGCTGGTGCTGCTGGTGCTGTTCTTGTTGCTGTTCATGCTGTTGCTGCTGCTGTTTTCGTCAGAATCAGCTGTCACCGAAGCAACTGCAGGAGCAACAGTATTACTACCGCCACCAGCAGCAGCAGCAGCAGGAGCAGCAGCAAGATATGCGGAGTGCATGCAGTCTGTTGCGTGTTTCTTTAGTGCCTCACGGGCGCTCTTTAGTGCTGCTAAGAGCAGAGCATCCGTTTCTGCTGCTGCTGTTGCTGCTGTTGCTGCTGCTGCTGCTGCTGCACCGTCTACTGCTGCAAGGCGCTGCTCCTGGCGTGCAGCAGCAGTGCCGTGGAAGCGCCTAACAGCAGCAGCAGCAGCAGCAGCAAGTTGCTGCTGCTGCCAAGACACCAGAGAATGCAAAGCAGTAAGCTGGTTATGAAGAGCCTTCCGCTGCTGCACTTCTGCTGCTGCTAGCTCAGGCCGCGCATGCAGCCAGTCCTCAGCTGCTGCTGCTGCTGCTGCTGGTACTGCTGGTGCTGCAGCTGCTGCTGCTGCCAGGTCGCCGTCTGAGGACCCGCCCGTGACAGAAGCAGCAATAGTTGCAGCTTCTGCTGCTGCTGCATCTGCTGCTGCAGCAGCAGCCCACTCCCCTACTGATGGAGGCCGCTGCAGCTGCAGCAAATCGGCGCCCTGCGGCCCCTTCTGCAGCAGCGCCGCCTCTGAGCGCAGCAGCAGCAGCAGCAACTCGTAGGCAGCAGGAGACAGCACCCCACTAGGGCAGCTTATCGCATCACTGCTCCCGCCGCCTTTGCTGCTGCTGCTGCTGCTGCTGCTGCTGCTGCTGTCTGGCTCAGCGGCAGCAGTAGCGGAAGCAGCACTAGCGGATGCATCTGCTGCTACTTTGCTGCGTCTCTTCCTTTTTTGCTGCTGCTGCTGCTGCACAGAAGCATCTTCCTGTGCATGCACCAGCAGCACGATTTGCTGCAGCTGCTGCACAGACAACCCTACTGCTGCTGCCCACGCCTCCCAACTCGTCACCAGCAGCTCGTCTCGCTGCTGCTCTAACTGCTGCAGCAGCAGCGATGCTGCCTCAACGTCCTTCCTTGCAAGTATTGCATCTGCTGCTGCTGCTGCTGCTGTGGCTGCTGCTGGTGCCGCTGATGCCGTTGGGGAAGTTGCTGCTGGTGCTGCTGCTGGCGGTGGTGCTGCTGCTGCTCCTGCTGCAGTTGCAGCGGTTGCTGCTGCTCTTTCTGATAGTGCTGTAGGCGGCCTTGCTGTTGCTGCTGCTGCCGTTACAGGTTGTGCAGCAGCAGCTGCCGCAGCAGTATATTCGCCGATTGCCAATCTTTGAGGGCCTTCTAGCAGCACTAGAGGCCGCAGCAGCAAAAATGCCCTTGGCTGTCTGTTTCGTTTTAAATTTGTGAAGGGGTTCGTTGTCCTAAGAGTTATCTGTTGGTTTGATGCATGCAGCAGTGTGCGGGGAAAGAAAGGAGAAATCCACCCGCTGCTGGGGTGTATTGGCAGCTTCTTCTGCAGTAGAGCGCCGCAAAAGAGAGGTGATTGTACGCAGAGGAGAAGTAGCAGCAGCAGCAGCAGCAGCAGCGACAGCCCCAGACAGCATGAACAGCGGAGGCTAGCTGCAGTCATTGGATACCTTGCCCTGCTGCTGCTGCTGCCGCTCCTGCTGGTTGCTGCAGTTGCTTCTGCTACTGCTCCTGCAGCTGCTGCTGCTGCTGCAGCTTCTGCAGCTGCTGCTGCAGCAACAAGAAGGAATTTCTATTCGTGCGGCTGTCGCATCTTGTCGGCAGCAGCATAGGAAGAAGGGAGAATAAAGCAAATGATATTCGTTAAATTAGAAGTAATGCAAGCAGAAATGACATAAATTTAAACAATTAATAATCTGCTTCTGAAGGATGTATAGCGAGAGAGAAAAAATGCGCAGCGGCTGTTGGGATGCCGGTACACAAAAGAGTATCCATACTACAACTAGAGAAGCATTTCTCTTTTTTTGCTTCAATTGTGCATTTAAAACCCTAATTTAGAAATAATAATTAAATAAAAAGACAACAATTAGAATAAAAAGCACCAAATAAAGCTTTATGGCGACAGCAGCACATGCAGTGGGTCTGTCTGTCTGCTTGCTTAGATGCTGCAGTCTGTATATATATATATTTGCTCTCGTTTTTAATGCTGCAGCACTTTATTTTTGGTGTATTTATTGAAATAAATATAATTAATTCGATTTATTTTGTTTATACACCTCAAATATCTCCTAGGGGCGCAGCAACTGACGGTTGTTTTGCTGCTACTGCTGCGCGGTGCAGTCATTCAAATCGTCTGTGGCTGTTTCCCTCATTTTTTCTTGTTTTCTTCTTTTTTGTTTTCTTCTTTTTTTCAGAAGTACATTTAACCTCAACAAACAAAGCAGACAGCGGAATTACCTGTTTTATTCTCTCCCCAACGATATATGAATCATTATAAAAGAAGAAAGAAAATATATTTTTAGCTGCATTTCTTGTTATTGTTTCTTTGTTTTAAGAAGAAAATGAAGGAACCACAGGAAATGGAGAAGAAAGAAGGCGAACACGTTCATCATCATCACCACCATCACCACCATCATCATCATAAAGGAGAGAGCGTTTATAGCGAGTATTTATTCTTAGGGTGTATACTCAGCGGCATTTATTTGTTCTTTCTTATGTTTGGATTTTATCAAGAAAAACTTTATAGCATTAAAGACCCTCAGACAGGGAGAAGGTTTTCTTACTCATGTTTCCTTGTGCTTACTGGTTGTATATCTAACGCATTTTTTTCTTTTTTGCTGCTGCTGCTGCAGCACCGCAGAAGGGCTCTATTCTTGATAATGCAGACAAATAAAGAAACAATTAAAGATATTGTTCTTATATCTCTCTCTTATTCTGTCTCTATGCTCTCGACAAACTATGCTCTGACTCACATCAACTACCCGACACAAATACTTGTTAAAAGCGCTAAGATGGTTCCTGTTGTTGTTGGTGGTTTCATCTTCTTCGGTGCGTACACCGCAAACCCTAAACCCTAAACCCCAAACCCTACACCCCAAACCCTAAACCTCAAACCCTAAACTCTACAAACTCTAAAGCCTAAAGCCCAAAGCCTAGACCCTAAACCCCAAACCCTAAACCCTAAAACCGTAAACACTAAAGCCCTAAACAATAAACTATTACTAGTTGTATTGTTGTTGTCATTGGTTTCATCTTCTTTGGTAATTACACCGCAGACCCGAAACCCTAAACCTAAAACCTAAACCCTAATATATTATTATTACTGTTATTATTATTATTACTGTTATTCTTATTGTTATTATTCTTATTACTATTGAAATTATTATAATTATAATTATAATCATTATTATTATTATTGTTATTATTATTATTATTATTATTATTATTATTATTATTATTATTATTATTATTATTATTATTATTTGCCTTACTCTTGTCATTGTTATTAATATGCGTGGTATTACAAATATAATACAATAAAAAGCATTGATATTATTTTAATTATTATTATGTTATAATTGTTGAAATAATAAATATGCAACTATAATGTTATTATCATTTCTTTTATTATTATCATTGTTATAATTATTGTTATTATAATAAATACACCACCATAAAGATAATTAATATTCTTTTACTTATTATTATTATCGTTACAATCAAAGTTATAATAATAATAATAATTATTATTATTACTAAGACCGCCACGACGAGATTTCACCAGCATAAGAAAGAAATAGGAAGCAGTTAGGGTTTAGGGTTTAGGGTTTAGGGTTTAGGGTTTATGTTTGTGTGTGCGTTGTTCAGGAAAGACATATCCGTGGCACGATTATTTATCGGTATTTGTTTTAACATGTTCTTTAGCTGTATTTCAATTGTGTAAGAATGAAGAAAAAGTAATTAAAGGAGAAGCAGCAACAAATTCTTTTTTAGGTGTATTAATGTTATGTGTATCTTTGCTATGTGATGGGTTAACAGGACCAAGACAAGATAAATTATTAGAAAGAGAAAAGCATTTAAACCCTTTATTATTGATGCTGCTGACGAATGCATGCGGTGTGCTATGGTGTGCTGCTGCAGTTGCAGCAGCAGAAGGCATTCGGCCTCTATACTTCTTTCTTCAGCAACCAGATGCTTGCGGTTATTTGTTTGCTTTTGCTGTCTGTGGGTCTTTGGGTCAGCTTTTTATATATCAGAGCATTAAAAGATTTGGAAGTCTATACACCTCAATGTTCACAACATTAAGAAAAGCTGCTTCTACTTTATTTTCTGTGTATATCTTTGGACATAAACTTAACAATAAACAGTGGTTAGCAATTGCTGCTGCATTTGGGGCTATACTTATGCAGACATATGTTAGTAAAAAAAGAAAAACTAAACTTAAAAAAGATGCACATGAACATAAAAAAATCAATTAAATACTTTGTTCGTCTGCCCCCTAAGAATTACTATTCTTTTCTCATTATTTGCATGCAGCGACTCTTTTCTTTTTTTATTCATTTTTCTCGTCTTTTGTTTTATAATCATATCTTTACCCTCGCATGTTGGTAATGAAGAAGAAAAGATATTTAATTTAGTTCATTTACAAAAGAAAAAACAAACAAACATGTATTTAAAAAAGATGTAAGAGACTATGACAGACACCGCAGCAGCCAAACGCAGACGAATAAAACAAAGAAATTTACTTATAACAACATAATTTATTTTTTTATTAATTGCATTTCTATTAAAACTCTCTCAATTATTCATTTATCTCCACCAGGGCGGTGTTTGATTAATACATTAGTTTAAATAGACAAGCATCTGCAGCAACAAAGACAGAAAAAAAAGAGAAAGATAGACAGAAGGAGACACACGAAGAGAAACAAACAAGAGGACATAAACAAGTAAAGAACAGATAAATATAAGTAAAGATAAACAAAGCACAAAAGTAGAAATAACAAGCAAAGAAGTAAGGAAGCAAGCGAAAGACAAACACAGAAAAGCAATGAGATGTAAACGCGCAGAGACAAACAAACGAAGAGCAACGACAAAAAACAAACGAACGGAGACAAACAAAGATAAACAAATAAAGATAAGCAAACGAAGATAAACAAAAAAAATGCAAACAGACAAAGATAAACAACTAGCATCTCTCTTCTTGAAAGCAAGAAAAAGGAAAGAAAAACACAAGACAAACAAACAAATTAAAACAGCAAACATTTTTAATAAACAGAATGATAGTTGTTTCCTCCGCATAATATTTATTTGTTTGTTTTAATTTTGTTTTTCTTCTTATTGCAGCCAGCCATATACACTCAGGGCTGCAATCAATAATATTAGTAATAAATCAGTATTCTAATAATAGCATTTACAATTAATAATAATCATACTCATAAAAATAATCTTTTTGTTATTCTAAGAATAAGAATGAACGCGCTTTAATCGATAACAACAAAATAATAAAATCAAAATGAATATCGTGGAGATACTAAGTACTGCTATTAATATAAAAATGAAATTAAAAAATAAAAAAAAGATAAACAAATGCGATAAAAAGTATAAACAAACTATAGGAACTCCTCTTAAAATAAAATGCTCGAGGCGGCTTTCAGGCAGTGAAGACGAAAAATTTAAAAAGGGTTTAGGGTTTAGGGTTTAGGGTTTAGGGGTAAACCCTAAACCCTAAAACCCTAAGTAGCAACAAATCAATAATAAATGCAATAAAAAGAAAATTCATTTTAGTTTGTTGTATGCATGCGCTTTGATGATAGACAAGGGAGATAAATAAGCAGAAAAGAAAACAAATAATAAAAAGCAGCGAAAGCTGTTAACAACAAGCCAAGCCTAAAGAACAGCCAAAGGGTTTAGGGTTTAGGGTTAAGGGTTTAGAGTTGTTTTATTTATTTTTTTGTTTTATTCCTTAATACAAAACAATAAAGACAAACAGCCTAACCATAATAAACATATGAAACATATAATTGTAATTAAATAAATAATAAATATGTATTTATATATTTATTTATTTATTTATTTTTAACTCTTTTTTACAGCTTGTTTAGGTAGAGACACCCAAATTTCATTCCTGCGGAAGAAAGGAAGACAGAATGGAGAATTATAAACAGCGAGAGTTAATTCGATTTGTTTATTTTCTTCTTTTGCTTTTATTCGACCTTCTTCTAGCTGCCGAATTAACTCATTATCATCTGAACTGCAGCCTCCTCTATCGTGCGGGTTGCTGCCTCTTTCACCTTCCCCTCCCCCGCCAGTGCTGCTGCTGCTGCTGCTGCTGGTGCTGGTGCTGGTGGTGGTGATGGGGGTGGTGGTGCTGGTGCTGCTGGTGCTGCTGCTAGTGCTGCTGCTGCTGCTGCTGCTGCTGCTGCAGGTTATTAGGCCGTCTCGCACGAGCGCACGCAGAATAAAGACAATTTGCTGCTTCATTATTGAGCGATTTATATTTGTATTTAAATCGACAGTTCCTGAAAAGCGGTGAGCAGCAATATATCTCTCTTCAATTTTCTTTATTTGTACGTCTCGATGTAGAGGAGAAGGCAAAGAAGAGCGCGACCTTGCTGACTGCAGCAATAAAATAAATAAATACATAGTAAATCAATAAAATAAATAAACAACAATGAATAAATAAATATAACAAAATAAATTAAAATAATTAAAAAAATAAAAATACATAAATTAAGATAAATAAATAAATAGAATGAAACGAATTAACAGAAATAAACAAGTAAAAAAATAAACAATGCCAAGTAAATTAATTCAATAACAATAAACGAAAGAAACAAACACCCAAAAGAAACCAGTAAAATATGCAAAGAGACAGAGGCGAAGACAGACAAAGTAATTAACAAGACATAAAATAAAGAAATCAACGAGAAAATTAAAACGACAAAACAACAAAAGCAAACAAAACAAAAGGAATTTAAAAAGTTGTCTCTAGATAACCCCTGAAAAAGTAATACAAAAAATAGAAAAGAGGGTTTTATTTGATTTAAATGACAGAAACAAACAACGAAAAACAAGACAGCAAAAAAGGTTTTTTTCTATGTCCTTCAAAGGGAAGAAGAGCGACAAGAAAGTTTAATAATTGATATAAACAACAACAAACAAAACAAAGAAGAAAAGCTTCTATTATTAGCTCTTTAAGAAGAGGTAAAAGACAAGAAGAAGATGTAATATACGATATGTCTGTAACAGTAGCAAGAGCAGCAGCAGCAGGAGGAGCAACAGCAGGAGCGGCAGCAAGAGCAGCAGTAGCAGCAGCAAGATCAGCAGCAGCAGCAGCAGCAGTAGCAGCAAGCGGCAGTAGCAGCAACAAGCATGACAACAAAATCTGCTTATTCACAACATAAAAACAAAAAGAAAAGAAAAATGTATTTATTATATTTATTATTTACTTCTTCTGGAGGAAAGAAACGCATGCCTTCAAAACTGTTGCCTGCAATTAAACACTCCACTGGCGTTGTCATTGGTATTCTCATCCCTGAACAAAAGAAGAAATAGACCAAAGGGTTAAAAGCAAATGCAATTAACAGAGGTTTTTAAATAAGAGATGCATGCAGTCATCATCAACACTCGCCAGCTAGGTAGCAGCAAATAAACAAAGAAAAATAACGAGAAAGAGAAGGAGATAGACAGAGACAAAGAGAGAGGAGATACACAAACACAATCCATCATAGTATTCATCTCTAGTTAATTAATCCATTTGAATAATTTGCTTAAAAATATGCATTTTGTATTTCTGTTATTTGTTTGAATTAAGGCCACAGGTATTTCTCTACAATCTCCGTCTTTATTTAAAAAGAAAAAAGAAAAAATAAAATAGAGCAACGAGACAATTGCAGAAACCAGAAAAAACAAAGTAAATGATGAAGATGTTTTGTATGAGTGAGCCCATTCTGAAGCTTTTTCATTGATAAAGAAAAAAGATTTTCTTTTTTTCTTTTCTCTTTTCTTCTAACAACGAGATAACAACGATAAAAGACAAATAGTGCGAGGCATTCTTTCATTGTTTTAATCACATTGGCTTTTGTTTAAAACACAAACAGCAGCGCCAGGAGGAACAACAACAGCGAGTACAACAAGAAATAAAACAACAACAAAAAATACAATTACAAGAAAGAAATTCAACAACAAGATTATCAACAACAACACCAACAACAATAACAATAATAACAATAACAACAACAAGAGCAACAATAACAATGATGATAACAACAATAATAACAAGAATAATAATAACAATAACAATAACAACAACCAGATGATATTTCAGGGCTTAAAAGTCTAAGGAGCAAACATCAAACAAACGACATCAGCAAAATGCATTTGTTTATTTTGCTTTGATTTTATTTTACTTAATTTATTTTAATTTATTACCTTCTTCATTCACTGGCTTGTCAAACACCCCAATGTAATCTGCCAACCTGAGAAAAGTTTGTCGCGAGTCGTCCGCCCAAGCTGTCTGAAAAAAACAACAGAAAAGAAATACTTTAAACACAAAGTATTTAAGTAAACGTCTATGAACTAATTAATTCAATAAAAAACACAAGAGAAAGGGAAATTAAAGCGTTTCCTCCACCGTCGCTGTAGTTTTTCATGAAGTTTTCTGAACGAGTTGGCTCCGCTGAATTGTATTGAATTTTCCCTCTGTTCACCTCTATTACTGGGGTAGCTTCATAATGTCGTATTTCATATGCAGGAGTCTGTCTGATAATTTCATATGACAAAGTGGCGGCATTTTCCCTCCCGACAACCGCACCCATTGTGGCTGACAGACCTGGAGAAGAAAAATAGAGGAAATGAAGAGATATAAGCGGAAAAGAGCAATTCTTCAAAGAAGTAACAAACGAACAGTATGTCAAAACAGGTTTAAATGAAGATTCTTAATTTCTTACCGATGGAAACCGTGGAAAACAACAGAAGAATAAGAGTGGCAGAGCCCACTGGTCTTCCTCCGCAACGAGAGAAATGAGCCAAGAAAGCAACAAAAAATGCACCGATCGAAGTAAAATTGAATATTTGATTGCAAAACAAAATACTTCTGACGATATTTCAGAAATTTTGGAGACTTCTTTTACAAATTTGTGCGAAATTGAATACAAAATTTCGCTCAGTCGTCGGCCCATGCGTTCAATGTCAGCGTGCATGGCACGGAGGCGACGGCAACTGTGCGCTGAGGGGAGTTTTTTAAACTATATTTTGCTCAAAATAATTCGTTTTTTAATTTTTGAGACCTTCTAAACATTTATTTTTAATGAAGAATGTCTTCAGACTTCAATCCGCCTTCAGACACCTACTTTTTGCCTATTTTCTACTTCTCGCTTCGACAGCCTCAAGCACGATCGCTAGTGTGCGGGCAGTGGCAGTTCTTCTGGACGTATCACCGTAATTTTTTTTTGATTTTGTTTAACTAATTAAATTGAAACAACACAACATATACAATTTTAATCGAAATGAAATCAAACGATAGGCATAACTCACGCTCTTGCTGCAGTTTATATAACAGTCAGCCCCCTGCTGTTGTCTGTCTGCACTTCTTTCGAGAAATGCATGTACATAGACGGCTTCATTTGTTTGATTATTGAATTGATTCGTCTTTTTTTTATTTTTTTATTTAATTAAACTATTATGCCCAATTGCAGACACAAAACAATCAACAAACCCACAACACACCTTCCCAAGCCCTTCCAGCATAAACACAAAAATTCAAATAGCGAAATCTGCACTGATAACAGATTCCTTAGAAACCTTAAAAAACATTTCACAGAAAAAATATATTTATATACTTACATAAATTAAATCTGTATACATAAATAAGCCAATATATAATTATATATATGCATATACATAGACATATGCATATATATATATGCATATATATATATATATATAATACATACATATATATATATATATATTGAAATAAACAACCAAACGAAAACACGCTATGAAAAAATAGACGAAGATGACGGGAAAGCAAACAAAATGAAATAAACAACGAATTAGATAAACACAACGCCAACAACAAATACAAAAAACCTGCATGCAGACAGAAAACCAAATTACACTGCAGTAACAACAATATACAACAACACAAACAAGCATGCAAACCCTTAGCTAGCTGGCTAGCAAGCTGGTTGTGTAGCTAGCTAGCCATGTAGAGACCCAGCCAGCTAGCTCTCTGTGTGCTCGTATTTCTATCTAGCTAGCTAGCTAGGTATCTAGCTAGCCAGCTAGTTGTATGTGCAGCTAGTTAGACGACTAGCTAGCAATGAAGATGACTATCTATCTATCTACGGATCGAGCCAGCTAGCTAGCTAGCTAGCCAGCTATGTATTGATCTATATAGCTAGCTGGCTAGACTTCTGGTAGTATGTTATAAGCAAATAATATTTTATTGTATTGCTGCAAAACAAACAAAAACTGCAGCGCCAAATACACCACAAGAAGAAAAAGAAAAGACAAGATAAGAAGCAGACGAAAAGAAACAAAGAAGAAAAAATAATAAAATAAAAAACAAACAAAGCAAAAAGCAAACACAAACACAAACACAAAAACAAAAACACGAGCACCTGCAGCAGCAGCAACAGCAGCAAAACCAAAGCACCTAAACCCTAAACCCTAAACCCTAAACCCTAAACCCTAGACAACAAAAAGAAAGACAACAGCAGGAGATAAACCCCTAAAAGTTCATAGAATGAAATGTTGAAGCAAAAGAAGAGCGAGAACCGAGAGGCACAGCGTTTGCCCCGCGAGGCATCACAACCCGCTGCTGCTGCTGCTGCTGCTGCTGCTGCAGGTGGTGCGGGTGCTGCTGCATCATATGCGGCTGCTGCTGATAAGGGTGAGGAGGCAGCATGTGCTGCTGCTGCTGCTGCATCTGCTGCTGCTGCTGCTGATGGTAAAGGTACTGCTGATGCTCCATCCATCGCTGCTGCTGCTGCCACTCTAACGGGCTGCCGGCAGCAGCAGCAGCAGCAGCAGCAGCTTCTGCTCTAAGTCTTTTCGCTCTGGATCTCCTGCAACAAAAATACGAAAAATCAAAAAAAGAAATTCAAATAATCACCAGAAGGCGCTCTTTGCTTCATATCCAAGTACAGCTACCTCGCCAGCTAGCTAGCTAGCTAGCTAGCTGATTGGCTGGCGAGCTAAAGGACATGCAGCTAGCTGGCTAGCTAATTGAACACAAGCTGAGAAGGTTTTGCAGTGAACCCGATACTGCGTTTAGATAGCTAGCTAGCTAGCTGTCTATCTACCTATGTATCTGTCGATCTATACAGCTAGCTAGCCAGGCTTACCTAGCCCTCTTGCTAGCAGACGCCTTAGGTTGTGCGCTGGTGGTGCTGCTACTGCTGCTGCTGCTGCTGCTGCTGCTGGTCTCATGTTCGCTGCTGCTGCTGCCGTTGCCTTCTGCAGCAGCATCTCCGATTTGTAGTACAGAGGGGTCAAAGAAAGGAAATCTGCATTAAAAATAAAAAACAAATTAATTAATTACTTTAAACCCCTTTAAATATATTTAAAAATATTATAATGCAAAC